GGTCATCTTTCTTCTGGTGGATTGAAACTACAGACCTTTTTATTAGCAGCCTTTTAAGTTACTATACAGCTAAAAAGTTACGGTATGGAGAATACTTAACAACAACTAACAACTCCAGGAAGCAACTGGTGCCTTGGGGTTGGCAGCACAACTCCTTACCACTAGGTCACCAGAACTCCATGGGTACCATTCTAGTTGTTGAGAATATGTCTTTGATAAGATGGTTTAAGTAGAGCAGCTTAAAAGAAGTAAGGAAATGAGGCCAAGAGAGGACTGTTTTGGTCATAGAAAGAGTAGATACAGCACTCTTGTGGAGAATTGCTTGATATGTTTAATGGCATAAGAATAACTGGTGCAGAATGACCAAGAAGCACACTATTTCACTTATCTGAGCTTCCTTTTTCTCATCTTACACATTCTAGAGAAGAGTCTCAAACATACCATGGACCACCAAGAAAATAGGTCTGTCTTGGAGAGGGTGAGACCAAGTTTCTCTTTGGAGGTTAGGATTTTGAAGCTCCATCTCAATACTTTGTGCACATGGCCAGGAGAGAAATATCCTTGGAGAAGGATATCTTGCTTGGTAGAGTGGAGGGACAGCACAGGAGAGGAGGATTCCAGATGAGACAGATTGATACAGTAACTGGGGCAATGGGGGTTGAGGTGTCAGGATCAGGACAGGTCAGGCTTCAGAGCTGTTGTATACAACGTCACAGGCTACTTGACAGCACATAGCAATAAGCATTTTGAAGAATGCCTTCATTGCCAACCCTTAGCCTTTCTTCTCTGCTTCTGTACTCACTGTGATTCTTCAGCATAGTTTTGTTGTTTTGTGTACTAGTTGCCAGTGGTGTAATTGGAAACTTATGTTGCCATCTTGAGTCATCTTTGTTTTTAAAGTGTAGTCACACATCATTGTATTTGCATTTTACATATACTGTCCACAAACCCAGAAAACAACCCAGAAAGCCAAATTGAATGTTTGTGGCACCCTTGTGTTGAGCAAGTCTGTTCGTTCCATGTTTTTCTACAGCATGTGCTTGCTTTACTAAGAAACAGATTCATACGGTGGATTTTATTGTCATATTTACTTATATTGTGGTGGTCTGTAACCAAACTTGTAATATCTAAAAAAAAAATATACAGAAAAGAAGGGATATAAACCATACACTTACTTTGTTTTAAGAAAATTAAGTCAACAAAAGAAGGAAGTAATGAATGAGGGACAAAAAGAGTAAGAAATACAGAAAACTGACAAAATGGCAGAAATCATTAGAATGGGGGGAAAGCAAGTTTGTAATATAGCTAGTCAGTGTTTTCATTGCCATAATTTTTTACTAGAGTGGAGAGGTTTCTTTATTTTTATTATTAGAATAGAAGGAATCCTAACATAATTTATAGGAAACAAAAATACTATTGGGAAATATGTGTAACTCAGTATTTTGTAATAATTTTGATGGAAAGACATTAGAATTAAACTCTTATAGTCAGGTAGTTACTTACCTTTTTTTGTGTGGCTAGGCTTCATAAATTATATGGTGAGGTAAGCTTTTTAATAACTTTCACATTTCTGTAATTTCTCATTACTTAAGTAGACTTTGATTTGAGACTTAATGTCACATTAAACTAATACTTTAACATCACTCAGATTATAATGCTGGGTATTCTTATTTGCTGTCTTTTCTGCACCCTCTGAAAGCATTTTTAGTGATTAAAAAGATAATGTTTGTTCTTTTTTAAAATAAAAAAAAGTGTGTGTGTGTGTGTGTGTGTGTACCGTCAAAACAGATCTGACTGGCAAAGGATATTGCCCCTCCTTCTCCAGCAGAGCATCTGGTGTATTTGAACCACACGTCTCTGGGATTGCAGTGCAGCCTCTTGCCACTAGACCACCAGAGCGCCCTAAAAAAAATATAATGTTCTTTTTAAAAAGTAATAAGTATTCTTACTTTACAGAATCTTTGTTTTCATTACATACATACTTAACAAAACAAAGGCTTGAGGGGCATCTTGTGAGATAGAAAGCCATAAACCAGACATAATTTGTCATTTTCTTGAGAAGTATGGGTGGCAGCCATCACTCAATATGGTATCAAAAACTTGTCATGATTAAATGACATGTGTTTAAGCAGTTTGTAAGTACTCCTTGCTTCATTTTTTTCTGTCACTGCTGTAATAAAAGAATTTTTTTTTAAAGTTACTTTCTCTGGGAATTTGGTTCTCACTGTCAGTGCAGAACAGTACCCAAACAATGACTAGAGTACTGATAACAAAAGGAACAAAAGAGAGAACATCATCTTCTTGAAATTGTCAATTCAACCAGTAATTATGCTTAAATTAAGATGCATGTAGTTTCTAGCTTTCTCTTGGTTAGAAAGGAGTGTGATACACTGTATTCTTTTACCGAAATGTTGCTAAAACTTTTTTTTAGCTGTAGACAGTAGGCATAGTGTTTCAAAAAGTTATAATGTTAGAGAATATCCTGCTTTTCCCCAAGTAAACTTCCCAAAGAATACTGTTACTAAATTTGTTTTAAATACTTACCTATTAAAGACTATTTATTCCTAGATTTATTATCATTTAAATATCTTTTCACTTTAATCTTAGAATGAGAGAAGAGTACATTTATACTTATTTATACTTTTTAGGCTGTTACATATCCCTTCCCTTCAGGGAGCTGTGGTGGTATAGTGGAGATTAATTGCAGTGCTATGCCAAAGGCAGGTGATTAAAAAACCCACCAGAGCTGCTCCTTGGGAGAAAGATAGGGAATTGGCCCCGTGTGATCGACAAGAAAATCTACTGAAGGCTCAACTATGAGTCATTTACAGCTCAACAGCTCAAACAGCACATAAAAACAACAACAACAATGTAATGTTCTTTTCCTTTCAGATTTTTGTGATTTTACACACACACACACACACACACACACACACACACACACACACACACACACCCTCTATATATCTCCCCCCTCTACAACTATGGACATTTATCAAAGTTCATAGAGTTCTAGAGGCATGTTGTTATTTGTTACATGTTATAACAACATGCTTCTAGAAACTCTATGAACTTTGATAAATGTCCATAGTTCTAGAGGGCTTTAGGCCTTTTGTTCATAGGGTTGCTATGGGTCATGCTTGACTTGAAGGCAATCAACAACATATATATTTTAGTTCTTATCTAGTACTTCACAAAAATACTGCAAGCTTACAGTATCATTTAACTTGCTATTATCAGAGTTAAGAAATTTGGGGCACTTAACCTTAATTTGTACAGAAGATTTTAGAGGGTAGTTTAGGAAGACAACAAAATTTTGTAACAAAATATGTAAAGAGCTGGAGTTAGAAAACAAAAAGGAGAGAACTTTCTCAGTATTTCTCAAGTCAAGAGAGCTGAAGAACAAATTTAAACGTCGAGTTTTAATGCTGAAGGATAATATGGACAAAATCTTCATTGATGTAGGTAGAAGGAATGCAGACATGGTATAAAAAAGAATTGGTCGACCCTGAACTATTTTAGGAAATAGTATATGATCTAGAACCATTACTGCTACAGGAAGAAATCCAAGCTTCGCTGAAGACAGTGGCAAAAAAAAAAAAAGGCCTCAGGGAAGAATAATACCTTTTGAGGTATTTCAACAAACAAATGCAATGCTGGACATGCTCTTCAAGAAATCTAGAAGACAGATACCTGGCTATCTATATGGAAGAAGGTGGTCCAACAGAATGTGAAAATTATGGAAAATAATTTATTATTGAAAATAACATCACTATTAAATGCAAGTAAAATCTTATTGAAGGTTATTTTAAAATGACTGAAACAGCATACTGACAGGGAATTGCCAGTAATTCCAGCTGGATTCAGAAGAGGCTGTGAAATGAGAGATACCAATACTGATGTCAGATGGATTCGGACTGAAACCAGAGAATACCAGAAAGATGTTTGTTTGTTTGTTTGTTTGTTTTTTACAACCTTGCTTGCAAAAAGTGAAAACTTGAAGGATTAACTGAAAACAGTCAAAGACCACAGCCTTCATTATGGATTACATCTTAAAATCAGGAAACTACAAATCTTAACCACCGGACTCTTAGGCAACATTATGATAGATGAGGAAAAGTTTGACATTGTCAAATTCATTTTACTTAGATCCATTATCGGCACCCACAGTAGTAGCACTCAAGAAATCACACACACTTCATTGGGGAAATCTGCTGTCAGGTCAAGGACTTCCTTAAAATAGTAAAGAACAAGTATTTACCTGTTTAAAGTCTAAGCTGTACCTGATGCAAATCATAGTATTTTCAGTTATTTCCTGTGTAACTAAAAGTTTGACAGTGAATACAAAAACCCAAAGAATTGATGCCTTTGAATTGTGATATTAGAGATGAGGACTAAAGAGCCTATGGACTACAAAAAGAACAAATAAGGAGGAAGTGCAATAATGGTGCTCCTTAGAGGAAGGGATGGTGAAACTTGTCTCACATACTTTGGGCAGGATGCTCACATGCTGTCAGGAGAGACCAGACCTTAGAAAGATTCTGGGAAAGATGGAAGGTCAGAGAAAGAGGAAGACACTCAACAAGGTAGATTGACCTAATGACTGTACAAGAGACCACAAGTGTAGTGGAGATCATGAGGAAGATAGAAAATACTGTAAGGTTCATTGGCTGTTATAGTGAACTCAGAAGACATAACAGTAACAACAGGGACATGGTGGCTTAGTAGATAAAAATGTTGAGCTTTAACTATAAGCTTATTGAATCTACCAGCTGCCTCTTAAAAGAAAAAAATGATGAGGCAGTCTACTTTTATAAAGATAATAACCTAGGATACCTTATGGGAAGGCATTTGAGAGTTACTAGGAATCAGAATCTATTCATTGGTAGTGGGTTTGGAGTGTGTGTGTGCGTGCGCGCTAATACATTTATTACTCTGTTTCTCTGATACAGTAATTTCCAATAAATCCTAATACATATAGTTTTTTTTTTCTCTCCTAGGATTTCCATATTTATAGGATGACTGCACATTAAAGGAAGGAAACGCATAAACCTGCCCTCTTTCACTATGGAGGCAAGTTTGGCAGATAGCGGAGAACCTGACCGAACTTTGGTGAGTAATTTCACCTATAACATAATAGTCATCTACAGCTGCAAGTTTCATGTAAGCTATGATTTTGTTTTTAAAATGTGCTTCAAACAAACTTTCAAATGTCTTTAAGAGTAATACTTTGACTCCTCTACTATTAGGACTTTTATAAATTGTTTGAAGTCTACTGAGATACAGCCCAGCCAGTTGATATTTCTGTTCCTACCTCTTGGTTTTCTTACCCTTGCCCTCTCAGCTCTGTGGTGTAAGCTATACCAATAGAATTTAGTTTTTACCCCACAAACCTTTTAACTTCAGTGAAATCAGGATGATAACAATTGAGCAAATTAAACAACTCCACATCTGAAATCACATGCAGATTAGAGATTTAGAGAGAATGAAACAGGTAAGGCAATGCAGTATTAGGATCTGTTGCTATATTTGTAGTTTTCCCATTAAATAATAGAAGTTTAATAACTGCTACTGTCTTATGATTGATTAAATTGGTTTTGGATATTAAGAGGTAGGATAGCAGTTATTTGTCCAATAACTTAGAAAAAGATAGATTACATGATGACTTGTGATTTCATTACAGTATGTTTTTCATTTTCAGTTCCCTTTGAGTGATTGATTGCATATAGATTTATAGAATTCTTAATTAGAAATATTCATTATCTGAAATGAGGTTGTTCTTTTAAAAATATACTCAGCCGGTAGTACTGTGATTTATTAGATGGTAGATTCTTCAACAAATTTGTGTTTTTTGGAGTAGAATGGAGGCCAACTTATTTCACTTTTATATTTCTTGGAGTTGAGAGTTATATTATCTTGTTATGCCATCAGAATTTTATTCTGACTGTTGGTAAGTCTGAGTAGAATTGCCCCGGGAGATTTCCTGGGCTCTGTCTTTTTATGTCAAAGATTTCATCTTGCTTGGATCCCTAGTTAACATGCTTGTTACCAGCAGTCAGGAGTCGGGGATGTATAGCATTGGGAAGATCTGTCAGGAATCTCTCCAAAGTTCTGAAGAGCAGTGATGTCAGTTTAAAGACTAAGATGTGCCTGATACAAGCCACAGTCTTTTCATTCACCTGCTGTGCATCTGAGAGCTGGATGATGAATAAGGACGACAAGAGAAGAATCAATGTATTTGAGTTGTGACTATCCCGTGGACTGCCGAAGGACAAACAGATATTCCTTGGAGAAAGTGCAACCAGAATGTTCCTAATTGGTAAATGTGGTGAAGCTTCATCGCACATATTTTGGACATATTAGTAGGAGAAGCTGTTTTTTGGAAAGAGACATCATACTTGGAAAGGTGGAGGACCAACAAAGAAAGAAAAAAATCCTTCAACAAGATGGATTGATAGTGTTTGTGATGTGGTAGAGAACTCAAATGTGTCGAGGATGGTAAGATTGAGGCAGGTTAGACAGAGTTCAAGTCTATAGAAACACTATGAGTCATACTCAACATGATGCCACTTAACACGAATAATCTGTTATGGGAACAAATATTCCAGTAGCTTCTTTGTCAGAACCACTGATATGTTCATATTTCTGACCTTTCCCTTAGCAGACAAGTACTTAATCATTGCACCATTTGTAAATGTTGTTATTCAAATGTAAATAAATGTAAGGTTAGTCTAATGATTGATAACAAAATGTAATTCTGCTGACTCATTAACTTGATGACTATTCTTGAATTTCTGGCTCATACTTGTTTTGCATGGTAAAAAAAAGTTAAACTTTAAAATGATAGCTTGTTAATAGAAAATAAGATGAGCTTAGAAGTAACTTAGTTTCCAACGAAAGCTATTAGTCACAGTAATTATAAGTGGAAAGCTGACGGTAGGTGATTTTATTTCTACAATAATTTTAAAACAAATTAGTATCTAGGCCTTATCATGATCTTTACCATAAAATTTTCTTGATGTTAATGGATTGCCTTAAGAGTTGTTGTTTTTCAGAAGGTGAAATATTCTTTATCTCTGCAGGGGTTGCGGTAAGTCATACTTGACTCTAGGCAACCTAACAACAACAGCAGCAACAACACAGTGGTAATAGATATTATTAGTAATAATAAGAGCTACTATTTTTAGGTGTATGTTTATTAAGCTAATCCTGTAAAAATCATTAAAAATAAATACTTATTTGTAGGCAAGTTAGGAAAAGAGGCCCAGAGAGGTTAATGATCGTCTCTAAAGCCTCACAGCTTAAATTGTGGAACCAAGCTTTGTGTATCTCAGAATACTTTACTCTGCCTCTGTAATATTTGTGACATACCCACCATTTTTGAATGGAATTGTTTAAAATAGATTTTAAAGTACTATCTGCATAGTTAGCCTTAAATACGATTTCAAACTTCTTAGGCTTGTATTAATAAAATGTAAATTAATTTTAATTTTAATTTCTACTGTTGCTGAAAGACTAAAGTTCAAAAGCTACTTTCCCCCTAGCTGTTTATTATTAACTTTCTTCTTTTAAACATTTCAGTTCATTTTAAGAAATGATAATTTCATTGTGAACTACTGAAGTAGTTGCTATTTGAAACTAACCTTGACTTTCTGTTTAAACTATTTATGAAATATTACTTTTGAACTGAATGGCCAATGCTCACTGCTGTTTAGATTTAAGAGAAGGAGGTAAAAACTTAGACATGTAATCACTTAGCTACATGTTAAAATCCAGGCCCTTTCACTTAGTTTTTTGTTTTGTTCCGTCTATCACTTAGCTTTATGATTTTAGACAATACAATACTTGACTTTCTTTTGATCTCC